TGGTCGGTTTAGCGCATAGGTGCTCTGCCATAGAATCTGGTTCCCTCCACCTTTCCCTGCACTACCACTCGCTCTTTGAAGTCGCCATTCCGTCTAGAGACATGGCTAAAATACTGCAGTATGCTTGACTGTACTGTAGATTGTGGTTGATAGACGCTCTGTGATATTAAAACAATACAAACTTTCAAACAGGTGGATTCATTATCTGTTTGGCATTATTCAAAGTTTAATACACCAAACTTTAAATGATGCGAAACTAACGCTTGCACTCCGAGTAATTAGTTGATTTTGAAGTTCTGTTTGCTTATTGTACTTGCAAAGATTTTACAAATGCGACTGTCCTATGTCCATGTATTATCCAGTCCACAATTTAGATATTTTTTTTAATCTTTTAGCCGGTTTTTCAAGTGTACAAATTATTCCAAGCGCATGATTTATTTTATTCAGCTTGCAGATTCAATTGCTTTACAGGAAAATCGAATACCAGGAGTTGTTACTGTGGTATTGTTTTCTGTCAAAATAAACAATAAAGTATCATTTTGTTAACAAATAAAAGAAAACAAAAATAAAAATAAAAACAATCTACGAAATAATAACTCGTAGTAATAGGTTTAAAGAAAAAAGCAAAACCAGAACCTTTATAATATTTTGGTCCCTAATCATAATGTTACACACGTTCTTAGGATACCCTATAGTTCTTAAGGTAATTAAAAACATAAGACAAGACCAAAAAAGTTTTTAGTAATAATTTTTTTTTAGTGTTGTCCGTAACAAGTAATAATGAAAAGAAAACCACTGCTGAAAGACAATTTAAATGCACTAAGAAGACTGAAACAGCACAAACATGGCTCATTTTTACAGAATTACAAAATTATAATGCTTGGATAAATTTAAATACATAACTTATGTATATATATTTTTATAATCCCCATTTAATTTTCTTGATTTTAATACCCTACTCGATAGGTTTGGTTAATTTTTTTATTCACCTGTTTCCATTTTGTGCCAAAAATTTTGTGATTTCTTTTAAAAAGCCATCTGAGGACCTTGGGGTTTTCGAGACGGATAAAAAAAACCTTAAATGTTGAAATCATAACCAAATTTTGGCAGTTGGCAAGAGAAAGCGACTCCGAATAAATGAACCACTGTATATGATATTCTTACTACTTCAACCAAGAGAGGGTCATGATTCGGCACATTATCGTGTACAGGCTCGACTATAGTGATACAACGGCGTCACAGATTGTTAAGCTTTCTTTTCGTTCCGTTTCACCGAGTGCGTGAGGTTACCGGAGCTTAACCTCCCATTCTGGGGGAATGGGCACTCAAAGGTCGGCGACGCACTTATCTCTCTTGAGTTGCTTGTGTCTATGGGCGTCGGTAGTCAGTTGCCATCAGGTGAACCGTCCGCACGTTTGTCCCATTCATCCATCCATCCAATAAAAAAAGGATGAAATCTTGGATGTTCGTTTGTTTCAAGTCAGAACGGTTAAAATAATTAAGATTGAAATCCGCAGAGATAGCTTCTATTTACCTCAAAAAAATGAATCAATAAAAAAGTGTGTGTGTGTGTGTGAAATTTATTGTGTGAAACTTCAAATTAATTATTATTATTTATTAAATAAAAAGATAAAAATATTGACGATGTCAAAATATTTTATAAATGTTATAGTATATATAAAATCAATACAAATAATTTACTAATGTTAATAAATTCAATTGTAGATAATTTATACAAATATATTTTTTTATTAAATTAACACAGATGTGTTAAATAATTAATATAAATTAATCAACTAACGAATTTAAATACGCAAATGGAAAAATAATAAAACACGTGAATGATACACCACGTTGTTTATAACACATTTTCTGAAGGCTTCGTTGTACGCAGGTGCAAAGACACGTGATAGCATAGAGGTGACGAAGATTACAGAAAACACTGTATACTTGTAATCTATCTCATTCTGTCGCAGGTTAAATTCTTTTTATGAATATGTTTGTCTCTTTTTACCATCGCTTTTTGATAGTTTAAAATCAAAACGGTGCTAAAGAAGTTTTACTTCAATAATAATTTAGATTAGTAATAGCCATGGGAAAAAGTAAGTTAATAAACAGAAATAAACTCTCGAAACGAGTTAATTCATACGAAACCCTTCGAGTAGTTTATACCTAACTTTGTAGCTAGTTACAGAAGTTAAGGTAATCTACCTGTTCCGTCTTTAGTTCCTAGTATTTACTCATTCTATTTCCACTCCTTTCACTTAACATTGAGTACCGTTATTTTTCTTCTGTCATATGACGTTGAGTTTGTTGGTTCAGTTTACGTTACACCTTCCTTTTAATCTTATATAAAAGTTTTAATCGTTGAATATTTAAATTTTGAATTTGTTTTGTTGCTGTATAATAATAATATTTTCGAATATCTAACCCACAACGCCATCTAGTTTCAAATTAAGCAGATCTTATACTATGGAAGCTAAATTGACTCCTTATATAAAACATTATTACCTTATAGAAATATATATTTGCAGATCATACAAACATTTAGTCCGACCAGGGAATCAAACCCGAAACCTCAGCACAGCAGTCGTATATACTACCACTGCACCGATAATATTGTTACGAGCACGGTATACTATAAAAAAAGTAGTCGGCTAATTACTTTTATTGCACTGTGTTTACCAACACTCACTATTATAAACAAGAAATTCGATTAATTCGTTGTGTCGTAAAACAATACTGTCCCGTACGGCCAACACGCTTCGCTTTACTAGTGCTATCGAAATTACTAGACTAATCCCGAAGATCCGATGTAATGTTCCAGACAGAAACACGTACAATAAGGCATTTACAAATTTATATGATCTTCCGATATTCGACACTAGATGACACTGCAAGCAAGTATCGGAATTAAGAACCATAATCTCAATGCGCAGCGTTGTGACCCACTCGGTACTAGATGGCGCTGTCTTCCACACACAACTCAAGAACCACTCAATCCTATTGCACAACGGTATTTACAAATATTGTTTATTACATGTGAATTCGATATGAATAACTTATATTTAGATCCACTTTCTTGACTGCTGACCCAGAGGTTTCAGGTGTGATTATCAAAACCATCTAGAGCTGTCAATCTCCGATGTCATAATAATAAATTATAAAATATAAGCAGTACTTTTGGCTTTTCTAAACGAAATTATCGGGTTAAGCTATAACTTTCTTAATTTTCAATAGTTTTTCTGTAAGTAAAAGTAAAAAGATACAATTAATTACTATTGCAACATAGTATACACATAAAGTAACTAGATAAATATACATAGAAAATAGATTAAAATAGACTGCATGTAACAAAAACGTGTACTTATCTAAAGTCTTAAATATTTCGGAAAGAAAATCAACAAGTCTGGCTAAAGACATTTTCCTTTAAACCTAAATATTAAAGAAATCGTGATTGCTCAAGGAATAAAAGACTTAAAGTTGGCTGTAGTCCTAAGCAAGCAATGCATCTGAAAACGTGTTTGTAGAAAGATTTAAAATTACGTCAGATTTTTTCGTAATTTCGACGCTTGTTACGAATAATATATTTTGAATATTTTTTAAGTCATAGAATTAAGTAAGTAAGTAACAAGGTTATCGCACTCAAGTGTCTTGTATAATTTTTGAGCACTGAATTTACTACTTTTTTTCTTTTTTAAAAAGAGCATTGAGCAAAGAGCAATTTATCTTGTGTCGTGCCATACATACATGAAACGGACACAAAGAACACCCAGACTCAGAACAGCAATTCGTGGATCACACAAAGTGGTTGTCCCATGTGATCCAAACCACAACCTCAGCTCAGTAGGCAGCGGAAGGTGTCAATACGGACAAAAAGATTATAATATTTTAGTAATATTGCTCTAAGACAACATCGCTCCTAGTGGAGATTTCATGGTAGTAGTAAATAAATATAGACCATATATACAAATAAATAGGTACCAAAATTATAAACCAAATACATTGAAACTTTGAAAGTTTCGTAAAACTTATTATTTCTAGACCCTGGTTTACTGATAGCTGAAAAAATTGTATCCTTCCGCTGGTTTGCATGCACATCTGGGAAATTTGTGTTTTTATTAAAGTGCATTTACTGCAGTATTTTAGCACTTATTCTAAAGATGTGGGCAGACATTTAAGATTCACCGTCCCAGATGAAGTTTGGAAATATATGAAAAAAAATGATTAAATAAAGACCATAGAAGTATACTATAAATTACCCAATAAATTCAAAGATTTACCACCCACTCAATTTAATTAAAAAATAATTAAACTTATTATCAAATATTCTAGTAATTAAATACTAATAAAATGAATTATTTATGCTAAATTGACATTTTATTTTATTTTAATTAATTAATCTTGACTTGCAACACTGGCATGTCATTATTTTTATTTTTTTACATTAATCAGCCAAATAATCTTAAAAAATAGCGGTCACCTCGCTGCTTCCTAGTGTGTTGTGGATTCGATCCCCACATGGGACATCATTTTTATTATCTACAAATTGTTGTCCTCAGTCTGGTTGTGCTTTTTGTCAGTTTCATGTATATTTGTAACGACACAGGTCTTTAAAAATAAAAATATTCAAAATGTATTATTTTGATCCATTAAAAAAAATAAGAAAAATTCCGCCCTTTTCCAAGGGCTTGAGCCTTATGAGAAGAAAGAGCAAACAAACTCATGGCCACTCTTTTGCAATTTACAGAAAATACAATGGCATCATTAAATATACCACAAACTTGTTCCGATATGTGCAAATTTCTGGAGTGTACTTGCCTTACTTTCTATCATAGATGCTTCCAACCCTGAAATATTCAGGCAAGATTGCCTAAAATGATCGTCAGCATCTTCAGACTGATCAGATCATGAGCATAGATTAGGTATTTCTCAAACTTTGTAAGTCGGTCTAAAAGCTAAAAGAGACAGAATTCAAGGATAAAAGTATTATAACATACCTAAGTGCGGCCTTATCGCAGGCGTCGGGCGTGTCGACGGCGGGCAAGTGCTCGGTATCCAAGTCAAGGGAGTCGAGCTGTTCGTCAGTGGGCGTTGAGCAGGACTCAGCCTTGCTGCGGCTCGAGGAGCGACGCACTATTGTGAGGGCGCCTTGTTCTGTTGACAATCACAAAGACATTAGCACTGCATGCATGATACATAATGATTCATAGATCGGACATCGTGAAATGATTAGAGGTAAAATTTTAAAACGACCCTTAGAAGAAATTGAAAGCGTCGTTGAACAAAAAATATTATAAATATTTTTTAAACAGTATTACAAAATTATCAGTAATAAATTTAACAATTGAATAAGATATTAATTAAATGTAAAAAATATAACTCGCTCTCTTCACTTCACGGTACCGAAAATAATCAGATGTCAACAGAACCTAAAATACATTTTGTAAAGATATTGACAAATTAATGTATTATTGTTTTCAATGTTTCGGAAAATAGTTTACGTGACCCATTTAACAAATCATACACTTTTAAAGACTTAATATAATTTAGGTGACAATATTTTAAACCACTTGGAATATTTCCTACCGAATTCGTCGTTTTGATGCGCTGCTGTAAGTCAGCATCTCCAAATGGAGTTTTATGCTGTGAAAAGACGCATTTTCAATACTTCGTGACGATATTCGTACGGAGTGGAGAAATTCTACAAATTCTGAACAGTGCTGTAAACGTCTCCACTTTTTTCTACCGCATCCATTACGATAGAAAATATTTTTAGCTCACGTACGCAATGCCATAAATAAATATGTACCTACAATCAATGAATGTCCCTAAAACAGGAAGAACATAACCAACCAAATGATAAATCATTTGGTTGGTTCCTGTTTTAAGGAAACTCAAACTTATTAATTGAGAATTACATTGATAACACTGGACCTATAAAATTTTGCTTCATTTGGCTGTTTTAAGTAAAATGTTCTATTTATACAACGAATCCTACTTCAACATCCATTGTCTCTGGTACCTTAAATAAGCAACTGAAGGGTTCTTATATTAGAGATAGGTAGGGAGAGGTATTAATAAAATTTAATTAACGATATTGATTTTCAAAGCCAGAATTTTGGGTATTCTAATTCATTTACTATTGAACAATCCCGAATTATTTAAAGCAATATAACCATTTACATTGTAGAACAATTACTTTGACTAATACTTTGCAAAATTTGAATAGCTTTTAAACAATTGTTTCAATTAATGCTGAGTAATCCCTTACAGTGTTTTAGGATAAGTTGTTTTAATAGGAGTAGGTATGTACACTATGATGTAAGTGACTTTTATTCTGTTGTTGTGTTCCGCGTTAAACGCGAGGTTTTTTATTTTAATAAAAAACATTGAGGGATACTCATACCGTGGGCGTCGAAAGTTCCCTAACAAACTACACAGGACAAAAGCACTGCAAAGAGAAGGAAAACTTGACACAATCCATATACCAACCCGTCTGGGCAGTGTGGTATAGTAGGCCATAATATTCTTTCTTAGGAGAGTCCAGCAGTGGACTATTACTGGCCGTTGATGATGGTGGTAGTGGTGGTGATGGTGACACTCCGTATTCTTAATCCGTCACAACTTCATAACTTGAAACTTCATAACTCATGCATTTTTCCTCTGTTTTTCATTATTGTACATATATATAGGTATGTGGTATGCAGAATTAGCACTAAACACTAAATTCCGAAACATTGCTAATTTAAATTACATGTCAAAACATACATATGTAGAAATACGTGAACATTTGTAATTACATGTAATTAATAATACAAATAACATCTAGAACTCCAAAACGTCAAACGTTCCAAAATCACAATTAATTTTGTATACCATACAAAGGAAAGATAATTCTATAACATGCAGATGTTCCTAGAGAACCAATTTACAACGTATCAAAAGATTAAGATTCAAATTCGAACCAAACATGCGGGCATGCTTATACTCATATAAATTAAATGGTAGGGGACGGAAGACAGTTTTTGGTTATAGATATTTACAAATACAAAGGTATGAAAGTATTATACGAGTACTTATGGTGTACACTCTACTTAAAGGTAAGACAAGTGCAGTCAAAGTATAGTGAGAAATTTATTAGTAATTATTTCTTCGATTTAAAATGTAGAGATCCCTTTGATATCTAATTGTGACAATTATGGCTACAAGTTATGAAAAGAACTCATGAGGTGACTGATGAGCTCGACGGCAACTGCTGTAAGGTAGGAGTGTCGAGTTTCTATATACTTTTTTTTAGTATTTTTTTTGTTTTTGTTAAGCATAGTTTATGATTTATGAAACAACCTAGTTGCCAGCTGAGTACCAGTATTAGGACCAAATTTTGGCCCATAGTAAAAACTCTAATAAACAAATTTAAGTCCTGATGTACACTTAATATGGCGCTACATCATAAGTCTAAGAATAAGTGATAGTACTTTAGAATAGGGTTTTATGTTAACACATGTTATAAAGTAACGACTACACAAAATTTAAGCAACGAAGTAATTAGCCTCTTAAAATTTGTTTAAAAATTGATAAATTTTAATGATGTTGTGCTACAACCTTAAGTTAAACATTAGTCTCATAGCCCTTGAAACGTCGTTGTTTATATCAAAGCTCTTAAAAATTATTATAATATCTGAGTGTTGTATTAACTTGAGAACTGAAAGTGAATTAGCAGTTTAACAAGTTCCGACGAGTTTTTAATTATTATGATCACAGCTGCTTTGTTTTTTAATTAACACTTTGATAATAAAATAATTTTGGTAATCTTTCAGATGAAATTCTATGAATTTTCAGCTATTAACGTTACAAGAAAACTTTTCTAATTATGATTATCGGAGTGTAAAGTAAAGCTGTAGAAATTTTATTATTATTCTGTGATATTAAATACACTCAACGTTAGCTACATTCGTTTTGTTAACACAAATGGTTCGAAAGGTACATTTTTGGAAAGGTTTATAAAAAAATACACAATGGAGTAATTTAGGTGACTTGGTATTAAACATTTTACGCTATACAGAAGTACTTGATGAGAACAAAGGTCAGATAATTTACTAAAGACAGTTATACCAAGCACTACAGTAATAGTTTCACTAAGATCCAGTTTTAGATAACTGGCTGGCATTCAATCTTAAAGAGCTTGAAGCTTCCATTTCGGTATTCAGTATCATTTACTAGGAATTAAATACCATGGTTACAGTTAATTTGATAAATGGATCTCATGTACCTTTTAGTATTTAGTTGTAGCGACTTTTAGTGCAAATTTTTTTTAGTGATATTATTAACATCCATTCTTCTAGTGCGTGTGTTTGTGTGCGTGATTATCAACTATTCACCAAAATTTTATAGTTTCGTTTACTTTAATTTAAAAGCTTCATGCATTTACGTGGGGTGTGGTAAGTTTGGTGTTAATTAGTGTGATTATTGTTTTGTTAATTTGACATTTACCAATTCTAAGTGAATACTTACGATTTTCTATTACACTTCCGTGTTGACCTGGGGAATAAAAGGGATTCAATGAGCTGCTGATTTTTACTTAACTTCTAATGTTGTTATACTCGTACAAAATGAGTTATTAATGTCGCTTAATATACCATAAAAACATAATAACCCAAACATATTAACCCTTATAAATGATAATATAAATGTTTTGTGTTTACCTCAACACGTTTCACGGCGGGGAGTAAATGGGACCATTAATTTAAGGAGAATTATGTTCGTGTATTCAAACTTGTCACACCTAGTTTGACTTCAAACATTATATTAATTACAAAATTTATGATTATACTCGATTATAAATAAATTTCACACAGAAGAGGTTTTTTATTTATAGTTATTTAAAGGGGCTCGTGGCTAAGTGGTAACCGACAAAGTTAGGAAATTCTAACCAGGTCAGTCTATGGATAGATGACGGTATCATAGTAGACTTAAAGCCAACTTCACCTAGTTCGAGAAAAAGGCTCGAAGGAAGGAAGTTATTTAAAAAAGAGTGTCACCACCCCTATTCATCCAGTGGGTGTCGTAAGAGCCGACTAAGGGAGAAAACTACGCAGAACAACTGTAACAGTACTGTAGAGAGAAGGAAAACTTCACACAAACCAAATCCTCCTTCCTAGGAGAGGCTTATGTTCAGCAGTGGACTATTAAAGGCTATGTATGTGATGTGATGTGATGATTGACATGATTTTACATACTTTTATAAATTTTAGTTTAAGGTTTCAGGTTTATTGCAATTCGCATAATTACTTAGTTTTACTGTAAATGCAGTTTGAAACTGGACTGCGGATACGGTACGTGAAATCGCATAAGGCATGAGATAAATGGGGAGGAGGGAGGGTTGTACACTCAGTTTTTAAAATAATAAACAGTGGAAAAAATCCACTTATCGTATGTCAAATCTCCAACCAAGTATATATAGATTCGCTGAAATTATATAAGGCAATTGGATTTGTTATCGGATTAGTTATATTGATTGATTTGTAAATATTATTTAGCCTTTTAGAAAATAGGTGTAAATTGTGTCTGATAAGTGCTACTGGACTGATGGATAAGAAATTACTACAATTGTTGTTGGCAAAACTCTGTTAAGAACTATCTTAATCCTGCTGGTACAATGTTCCTACTTATGTATTAGTACAGTCTTAAGGTACAAACTGCTTAACTGATTCTGTTTGCTGTTTGTATCTGTGAATCTCTATTGTCTGAATAAGTACATACATTCAGACAATATACATGTCATGTACATATTTAACAATAATATGTCCTCATGTAAGTATTCCCTCAAGAAGAGAAGGATAACTTAAAACAAAACCTACCTGTCTGACCAGCGGTAGAGTAGGACAAAAACCCTCTTCCAAGGAGAGACCGATGAATGAACGACCCAGAAGTGGACTAGTAAAGGCTGTTGATGATGTTGATGAATTTATGTTTGATAAATTTGTTACCGTTATAGCACTGTATAACAATGTTCTCCAGTGTTTTTATTTTTCTAAAATGCACCCGAAATAAGTAAATGATATGAGGCAGCTCGTTGTTCGCGAATTATTTCAACAGCAAGCGGCTTTACTATGCATAAAAAGTTTACACAACGTTGGCGTATATTTGAGGCTCATTGTTCATAAACTTCATTGTGATATCTCTCTTGTTTTATTTCGTTATATATCCTTGTATGTAAGTGTACGAGAATAGTATTTATTTTATTGCAGAGTTGGGTTTTTTAAAACTTCATTGTGTACAGTGTTTTGCGGTACCTTTCGGGTTTTGTTTTGTTACGAGTACATAACGTGTGTGCATAACGCGTGTGCATGAAGTTATTCACGTAGACATTTTTGAATTTTTTTAGTGCATTTAGACCATGGTTAAATTTCATGCTGTTTTTCTTTTAAGATTCTAGGTAAAATACTAAAACCCTTTAAAAATGTAAGTATGTAAAAGCGTGATAAATTATTAAATATTAATAATAATAGTTTCGGACGTCTAGCACACAAGGCCATCTAGTTTTAAACTAAGTACTTTTTCGTAAATAAATACAGATTATACAAAGAAAACATCCAAACTTTGAAAAAAAATTGCAGATCATTTAACATTTGGTTCGACCCGTGAATCGAGCCCTAGACCTCCGCACAGCAGTCGCATATGCTACCACTGCACCATCGAGGTGATATAAATTAATAACAAACCTACTTGGATTACATTTTGTGTTTAAATTATTTTTAGAATAAAAAACCAGCTACAGAAGTACACGGCATCCATTATACATTATGCTACGCTATGAAAAGTCTATGAATTTCTTTATAATGATTTTGAAGGTTAAAATCTTAAAGAATTATGGTCGACAATTGATAACCAGGGCCTCTTGGATAGTTGGTTTTTTGACAATGTCATGAATGTCGCTTTTACTAATTGAATTTTTTCTCGATTTTTTAATTCATCCAAAGTTACTACTAGTGCAACACAGACGAAAGAACTTTCGTGTATTTTGCATTAAGCTTTTGAAATAATTTCAGAATCTTTGCTTTTGATGGATTAATTTTCTTAGTCTTCTATTCTTAGTCTAATGAAATGGAATTAGTAAAATGAAACTACCCCAGACCGTTATGAAATCTCTGAGTTAATCACACTACTTGTATATAAAATATACCGAAATTAAATAGAAGCAAAGTCCCGGAGCCATTATATTTAAACAGTAGTCTTGTAATATTTTTCTAAAAATATTATTTATTGCTCTATGTTTTATTAATAACTTAACAAATAACAGCCAATCACGCAAATCTCGGTATTAAAAAGTATCTTATAAATTCAAAAATTAAAGAAATATTATTTAAGTCTTAATGATTACTAATATTACATAAATTTGAGTAGGTACTCATCTTTTATAAGAATGATTGCGTCAAAATCACGTTATAACGTATTTTTAATCTTTTACTTTATTATCCTTGATGTAATATAGTTCGATCAGAAAAGGCTATATTAGAGATGCAATGAGCTTTTTTACTTTCTATTTATACCGGATACCCGGCCAATCTTGAAACCGGATAACCGGGTAATCATGGATCCGTATAGCCGCGTTTCCAGCAGCTGAATATTGTCTGCCATATAATGCCACGATGAAACTAACCAAGTAATATTTTATTTTTATATGGGACCTCACTGTAAGCTGAGTCTTTCCGAACCTTATATCTCATAAATCTAAGTTATCGAAGCAACATTGTCTGAATTTATGACCGCGCTGAAGACCAAAGAAAATAAAATTATAAAACTATCTAAATACTTAATATTTAGTAACACAGAAAGTCTAGATTATGTAAAGGTATATTTCTATTAACGACGCACAGTTGCTGGTTGGTAAAATCCACAAAAAAAAAAAACAGACTCCGGGCGATCTCTATTCCACATTTAATGTGCAAAAACGTAACTAAAGAGATGACAATATTTTTTATCGTTGATAACTTTCCCCTCGAAGTGCATTTTGAACCCCTATTCCATAAACGAAGATCTTATCTGTCTGTACATTACCTTATGTTGCTGCACCGCGGTTGCTTGGCAACCATTCCAGGGGCGTGTCTATCCAGAATTGCAATGCCGAGGCAAATTGAAATTCTAATTTGATTACGGACTTGAATATTATTTTTCAGGATATAGTTTTGCAGTAATGAAAATGGAAAATAAGAAGTGTTGCTGTTTGTTGTACACTGTAACTTGTAAATATGTTATTATTTAATATGTATTTATGATATACATACTTTTCATTTGTCAGAATATATGTATTTCAGTATACATGTCTATTCACAGTCCAAGAACCCTAACGAAAGTAAGTCATTTTTTTAGTCAGATGGTAAGGGTCACAGAGGTTAGGGATTTAGGGGTTTGTGTTAACACTGAGCTAAGATTTCGTGATCACATAGTGAAATGCTGTAAAAAAGCTTATAGGAATTTGGGTTTTGTTTTACGAACAGTAAAGGACTTTAGAAACCTAAATACAATTATAGCATTGTATAACGCGTTGGTAAGAAGTCAGCTAGAGAGTAACGCAGTCATCTGGGCCCCACATGAAGCTAAATATAGCCTCATGTTGGAGCGAGTTCAAAATAAATTTGTTAGGTTTTTGTACTTCAGATACTATGGAGTATACCCATTGTATCCATTAATGTATCCCACGTTATTTATTCTGGGTATGGTGGGATACAATGAACTGAGGGTCAGAAGGGAACTCACACTCGTCTCGTACCTGTTTAGGGTACTTAGGGGTGGGATACATAATGAAGACTTGTTAGGACGAGTCAGCATATGTGTTCCGGACAGATACGTGTGGCGGCGCCGCCGGCCGCCGCTGCTGGCTGTCCCGTGCGGGCGCACCAACCTGCAGAGAGAAGCACCGCTGACGCGCGCACTACGTACTCTGAATATAATTGCGGACGAAGTAGATTTTTTTTATTGCTCACTGAGTGAATTCACAATAACAGCATTAAGAATTATTTCTTATAATAAATAAGTAGATGGTATAACACTATTGCATTGGGCTAAGCCTGTAAAAATAGTTGTTTTTAAAGAAAATAAATAAATAAATAAATAAATAAATAAATAAATTTTCATTTAATACTTAATTTAACTGACACTACAGTAAATAATTAAATTATCCATCCGTCTATTTATTTACATTTCTGCACATCCCTAAATATATTTCTATAAGTCTATCTACGCGATTTTGTTAACGTTAGAAGTTAGGGCTGCAGATTTCGCTAAGTTTTTGTCAAACTTGATTTATCATTTTATGTTAAATAGTTGTGAAAGACATACACAATTAGTAAAATTTCAATTTAAGGTACTGGATAATTTCTATCTTACTTCAAAGGCATCACAATATTTAAAGAATATAAATAAGGCTTCATTTCATTTGGCAGATGTTATTAACGGCTGAAATACGTATTCAATTTATTCTGATACTAAATACGTATACAGAACAAGAAATAAATTGCTTTTCTTGCCTCAAAGTTAATTTATTAGCCATTTTCAAATGTTGTACTTTGGTATTATTTTATCCCTAGTAAAATACTATTTCGGTGACTATAAGTGGGTATTTATCTAACAAAAAATCACAAATGGTAGAGAATCCAGGCACCTAATGTTTGTGACAAACTGTTGTTATTTATCAACCGTATTTAAACGCAATTATGCGCGCAGTTAAGTTCGCACACGCACGTGTAACCGAAAAAATGCTAATGGAAATGGAAAAAAGTGATAAATCATTGTACTTTCGCTATGTGTAACAGTTTTATTGTTGCTTCAATCTTTGAAAATATAACAATAATGATACTATAACCAACGGTAATTTAAAGGAAATTAGTTTTTTTGCAATAAGTAGCTGGTGAAATTGTCCCTTTCACGAGCGTGTGGAATGCACACTGTTATGAAACTATGTAGTACATCCCTTTGTTTATAATATCAAACTACTAATATAGACATGTTCACAGAACATTATTTTATTTTCTAGTTTATTATTACGATGGTGTATAAAATGACTGCCGAAAAGTATATGAAACTACAGAGTCATCAACAATTTCTTTGTGTCCTACTATTCATATGTGTCTACCCTGTATATTCCGATACAATAAGATTCATAGAAATAAATAAAATCGGATTTTTTTGTTTATATGAACATAAAATTCCGATCTTACTTATTTCTATAATTATTTTTATCCTCTGTTTCCTTAGGTTAATCAGTAATTATTGGTTCACATCCATTTTTGTAAACACCCGTTCAATCGTCCAGTTTTACACAATACCGTGTCTTAGCACTTGAAAAGCGTGGGATCAATTTGTTCTTACATTTTATAAACATTACTTAATAAATATAATAAAATAAGAAAGAGTAAATATTCGGGGTAAATGCAACATGCAACACAATACAACAGGAATTAAAGAACAGGTAAATACGTTCCGCCATCCAGCGAATGTACTCATAAAGTCAATGCAAAATTTCTTCTTGATGCAAAATTTAAAAAAATCTATGGTATTATTATGAAGTAGACTAATACATTAAGATTTTAAAAGTAAAGAAAGAATACAAATACAACAGTCAAAGCACAGATTTGTCATTAAGTGTATTCAGATCTACACGATGGGTATTTTTGTCAAAATTCTTATGAAGAAAGAATTTATTTGAAAGGATCAAAGAACCATTGTTTTATAGAGTAAGTATTCATCAGCTACAGATTTTTTGAAAAGTTTTTTGTACATATATTTACGTTCCTATAAACACGTATATTCTGATGGTATTATTCATTGTATTTCATTATTTACGACTGTGAACTTCTGAATAAACAATGATCGTAACATGAAACATTACTTGGATTTCTAACATAACAGTATTGCTGAGACGCTAGGGAATGGAACGATTTAAAGTGGATATTAAATACATTGTGTCTTTATGTTTGTTAGAAATAGTCTCGATCTAAATCTTTATTGAGATCGTTTCTAGAAGTATATTTTGTCATTAGTACAGACTTATATATAAGTAGATATGTTAAAAAGTTCTATTAGAAGGTGTAATAAAAAAAATTCCATGCTTAAGAAAGTGCAGAATATGAAAAAAGATTGTTAATAAAATAAATTAATAAGGGATAGAAAAAAGGTGGATAAAAGTAAAGATTAGGGTTTATAAAGAACTTTTTAAACTTTGGGTTAAAGTCATATTAAAGTGAACGCAGGTATTACTCAGAACAATTGAATATTCTTATAAAAAAGAAAAGATAACACAAGACACATTATCTTTTACGTTAGGTTTAGACTACATTAGAACCCTAGACTAAACTACAGATTAAGCAGTAAAGGTAACTATGGCCTACACGGTTAAGAAGGCCTTTATTTGTATTGCAGCACTAAAGGGTAGATAGTTGTAAAAATACAATCCCATCAAAACTACGTCAAGACTATAGTCTAAAGCAGATTTATCTTTTAACAATAACAAAATAAATATCAAATTCCTTTGCAGTGACGATTAAAATGGTTAATTTGAAAAAAAATAAGGGTTATTATAGAACATTACGGTATATAGGATTCTATAAATCTAAACATAAAGTCGTCAAAGCTTATTAGATTGTAGAATTAGTCTTAGTCTGCTTCGACTATTATTAAGTCTTGTAACAGGATATAAAAAATGACAGAAGCGTGATGTGCTGGATGCGCAGGAGTTTAAAAATAAACGGTAATAAAAGAAACGTGCACGAGACATGGCGGTTATGGCAATGAATCACTCTTTGCAATTTTGTTACTATCTGTATCAGCGGCATTATTTAACGATATAATTGTATGACGGATTTCGATATTGCTTCAGTTTTTATTTAGAGAACCTTTGTTTATTTTATGTTATTTTCACGTATAAATTGGAACGAAGTTCCTTATCACGCGTTACACGCTCTGAGCGGATGGGAGCGTTGCCGAAAAATGTGTAACAAGACTTTTGCCGACACTATAGTAAAAGTCTACCAAAAAACGAAAGGTCATCGGTTTGGAAAAAAAGAAAAATATCATCTCGTTTTTTTTAAATTAGAAAAAAAATTGTTAACTAGAAAATTGACCCCCTTATGGTATTTTAAACTATCATGAACACAGTTTTTCAAATAATTCATTTTTTTTTTGTAACGGCAATCTGAATAGCGCTCTAAATAGTACTAATAAATCACGATTCTTAAAAATTCCACTATAATTTTAACACAAAAATAACTTAATTTTTCTTTCTTTAATAAATTTTTTAAAGGTTTTTACTTTCACTCTACTCTCAGTGATCATGGTATGAAAAAAGTTTGGCCACTACTATGGGAAGTTTTTAAAAAATTGACGCAACTAATCAAGATTCTAGAATACAGGCATTCTGGTATTTTTAAGAATTGTGATAGATTGCAGTATTATTCAGGTTATTATTACAAAAAAAAGAATTATTTGAAAACTGTGATTATTACAGTTTAAAATATCCTAAATATCCTAATCAATTTTCTAGAGTTAACAAATGTTTTATTGTAATTTAAAAAACTTCAAATTTTTTTTTCTTTTTTCACCTCGAGTGGTTATAAGCAGGTCCACCACGACGGCTTATCGTTAAATTTTGGGACACCCTGTATAACAAAAACCTTAAAAGAAATTTAGTATCTAATTTATTAAACTATTACCATTGAAAATTAACTTAAAAAGCTAATATATATTTGTGATTGTTTTCTGTGTAAGTACTTACTTTTATAAAACGTTCTCTTTTTTATGTATTTTAATGAGATTCTTATGTCTCATCCATCATAAGTATTTTCAATGCACAAACCCCTATAATATTATCTTTTAAAAATTCAATTTCTAGCTTCAACAAATATAACATCATTTGAAAGTCTGTTAGATGTTGCGAGATTTTAAAGCAGTTTAGAATTTGAGTTTAAAATTAATTTGTCTAGTCTAAGAGCATTCTTACATTATTGGAGTTTGTTTAAATAGAATAGAAAATTTATGAAGCTAAAGTCTTGACAACATCCATAATATGTTTATGCTTTTACATCTCCATTAAAAATCAACAATAACTTAATGTGATGCAGTTTTCCAGTCTTCGGGAATAGTACTTTCTTCCTTTATAAAAGGACTTTTTAAAGGTATTATATATACGAGTACTACGGTACTAGCTAAAAACATATATTCAGGTTCATTCGATTGATTCTGTTTTGTCTATAATTATATTCTTGCCGTTTATCAATCGCTTGATAAGCCTTTATTGTCAACGAAAAAAATACACTTTCTATTTCATATTTGATTTTTATGATTTCTAAATTATTCCAAGATATTTTATTCGTTTAATTCTTGAATTTATTGTTGTATAAATCGTCTGGACCAGTATTGGTCGGTTTACATTTTGGATACGTGATGTAACAATTTGGATGAAGGTGGGTACCATTGCCATAAGCGCCATTGTTCTATAACCGTGCTTACTGGGAGGGGTGCCGTTGCGAGGTGCGGGGGGCGGCGGCGGGCGAGGCGCCTCTTCTCGCGGTGCGCCCGCGCCGCCCGGTGGACTCGCCACTGCAACATCAATCAACAACTTAATATTACTTAGCTACTGATGAGTTTGGCGAACTAGTGCCAAAAAATATACATTTATCATAATAAAAGCCAAAACAAAATTATGTTAAGATCACATAACCATTCAGTAATGGTAACGATGCTTTCAAAAAATTTCATGAAATCGATAGTATTCCTACATACCTATGAGTTAATTTATCATTTGTATAAGATATTTCTTATACAACTAATATCATTCATTTATCGCTATCGAAAATGTCACAAAAGATGTCATAATTGGTACTTTCATTTAAAAATGTACAGATGCTGGTATTTAAAGGAATACACAGAACAAACTAGAAGGTATTATTGCGCCACAGGATTGAGAGGTTCTTGTGTTGTGTCTGGAGGACACCATACTTAGAACAACAATTGTGTGATCTACATATTGTTGTTCTCAGTATGGGTGTTTTTTGTGTCTGTTTCATTTAATATATTAAAAATACATAACAATTGGGGAGTTGTCTTTTTAAGAAAAAAAAAAAAGAAAACAAACTAAAGTATAATAATAAAAAAAAACTATTTTAGGGTTAGGATTATTGCACTATGGCAATCTCTTACAGACAACTATTTTGGTTTATACAAAATGAACTTATATGAAAGGAAAACTGTATTATTGTGCCTTTACAAAAGCGAGAAGTAGATTTAACGATAAACCTAGAGCTGCCGCCAACAATGGCCAGAGTCTTGCCTAGGTTTACTCTGAATAAAAAAACAAAGAAATATAGAGTAATAGCCCGCTGCCCCTGGTATACCCGATGTACTTTTACATCAAGAAGAAATTGTGCTTTTGAGACTAATACGTTGTCAGCGATTGAATAGGTAGTTGATGATAGTATTTTAAGAATAAAAAAACGCAATTTACAAAGTTACCAAAACCTCAAAGTTTACAATTTTGAATTCATTATTAAATTTCAAAAGAGTAACAACTGTAAGCTAGTAGTTTTTCATAGCTGATTTAATATCTTTCGTGATGTAAGCTAGATTACTAGCGCTGCTGTGAATAGGATGAAAGCTAGGTTGAAGAGGATTCAATTTGTTCTGGGAAAGGATTTTATTCGTTAAGTGTGAGTAAGGCATTCGATGACCTTGAAGAAAAAAGGATAAAAATTGAATAGAAATCAGGGAAGGATGCGAGATTTTTATTCAATTTTCTCTCTAAGAAGAGACAGTCTTTAAGAAAAATTATGCGAGTAACATTTAAAACCGTAAGAAACAAGCTAAAAGTTATTAAGTACATTAAAATATAACGAATAACAGGAAGGAGGACCTATCAATAATGGGGAGGATATACTCATATATCTTAGACAATTTCTTGTATATGTATTTTTTTGAAAATTCCGGATTTAATTTCTAAACAAATTTATTAAAATATGCAACAGAATGGCGATTTGAACAGTACAGAGAGGCTTTTTATGCAGGAAATTGGCCGACCTTCGTGGCCAAGTAGCGTGGAAGTTTCAGGACTGGATGGAATATATAAAGTTGTTTGAAATTAGTTTCTTTGATATTTCCATGTCAATAAATAGGAAAGTTGGAACAGTTATATGAATAATGCGATTACTACAAAATTCGAGTTCAATTTTTTTTTTATTTTCCTCTGTTCTTATTTTTTTAGAGTTTGTGTTGCTAAACAATACTTTATATAAAACAAAAGGATGAAACTTTTACAAGTATTCTATTTTATTTTATTGTTTTGATGTAGGTGTAGCGTTTTAAAAAATATTATCAGAAAACTTTATGTATATGAAAATAATACATTTACAGTTAAGTTTATTATTTGGCATATGATCTAAGCTTTTGTTACCTTCCTTCTATTTTTCCACAGTTTAGGTATTCGGTTTTCGTTTAGTTTATCTTCGTTTGCTACTTTGGAACAAACCATTCAAGTTTTAGAAATACGAGCCATTAACGACCAGTACTGCTTTATTGTTAAGGTGTAATTAAGTACCGTAAAATCTATTCAGCTTTTGTTTTTCAACTGTTACATATATCAGCTTACAACATTACAAAACATTGCATCATTATCACCAAGTCAGGGTGTCCATTGCTGGCATTAATTACTGAAGAAGCTGGTCTATTACTGTAGACCCTTACAAGATCATCTGTCCTCCTAGCTGGGGGATAGGATAGTATATTTATCTTTTACTTTAAAGTCAAATTTATGTCAAATTTAATGTTTTATCTCTGCATCTGCCGCGCCATATTTTTACACCACCCGGAGGCCGTCTGGTAGTAAATGCCCTATAGCATTAAGTCCGCCTTTGTACACCATGTGCATTAAGTTTAAATAGTTAACATAAGTTAACATAATATGGTACATTTTCTGAGTTAAAAGATTTAATATTATTATTATTATAAATATCCTACGCTGCACTTTGCGGTCCGTGGTTCTTACTCGAGTATCTTTCAGTCCCATCGACTGTATTAAAAACTAAATGAATCCATTATTTTGTGTGAGATTGTGAATAGTGTGATTGATTTATTATTAGAGGAAGAAGTCATTTTCTAGATAGAAGGTATAGACAACTTTCCATGTTGTCATTCTTAATCATCAGCATTATCATCATCTGCCAATTCTTATCCCATTTTTATTTGGGGTCGGCGCAGTGTCTTATTCTTCCCTGCTACTCTATCACTCGTCATTTCACTGTTTACTCCCTTCCTAGTTTAGTCACTGTTTAGTCCTACTACTTGGAGTTGAATTTGGAAATTAATATTTCTATAGCATCTAATCAAAATGTACTTCCGTACCACTATCTATAATAACGGCAAAAAAATCACCTTTGTTGTATGGGAGCTCCCCTTAAATATTTATTTTATATTGATTTAATTTTTTTTTTAAAGTGAATATATAACTAATTATTCTGTGAATACTTCAAGCGTTTCCCTGTTGCCGTTATCAATATCGAGCAAAGACGAGCAAAAAAATCACGTTTGTTTTATGGGAGCCCCCTTAAATATTTATTTTATTCTGTTTTCAGTATTTGCTGTTATAGCGGCAACAGAAATACATCGTCTATGAAAATATCAACTGTCTAACTATCACGGTTCACGATACACAGCCTGGTGCCAGACGGACAGACGGACAGACAGACGAACAGACAGCGGAGTCTTAGTAATAGGGTCCCGTTTTAATGTTTGGGTGAGTAAAAATATTATGTAATGTCACGTGACATAACGTCGTAAATATCCTCATTTACATATACGATAACGTCACATTATTCAAAACTGTAAATCGTTTGTGGGATTTTTATAACAGCGCTATTAATTAGTGCATTCATTTTGATACGATATAATTTATTTAAGTTCCCTGGGTATATGATATTCTATATTTATGCTATATTTTTCATAAAATCACATTTTTTATTTCTGTGCATCTGCCATTTTTTTGGCTCTGCCAAATACGAATATGCCAAAGTATAAATAAATAAATACGAGGTTAGTTTTGCTCAAAAAATATATTAAAGCCACTTATGAAATTATTTTTATTTATTTCAAACAGGGAATAGAACTTATTCGAAGTTCTGTAAGGACAATTCGACAGAACACTACAAAGGTCCCTTTGAGCAGAAATTCTGTCAGTCTGTTTATCTGGGTTTCTAACATTTCATCTCTGCCTTTGAGTCTTCGATCATAGTAATTAACGTTTTGTGAAGAGGCAGCATGTCTTTAATGAGAAACAACGAACGAAAAATATTTCACATTTGATTATTTCGGACTGTTGTAGATAACTTTGCTTGAGCCCAAATTTTATGAGAATGCCATATCTTTGCATAATTACTGAGTTTTAACATCTTCCCTACAGCTGTTTTTTTTCTAAATTATTATGTTTAGGTATGGTATATTGCCGTCAATCTTATCACATCACTTTGACGTTCCTTATCATCCCAGCGTAACGGTGTAATTAATGAGGTTGTGTTCTATGTTATTTTTAACATAATTTTTTTTTCAATTCTTAATTTATTGTTAAATATTCCTTCATTTTCTTTTATTAGTTCCTTAGAAAAAATGCTAGATTTAATTAAAATTATTCTGTACTCTAAAAGACAAAAATATAAGCATAAAATTAGATTCATGTATTTGCAATTTCGCGACTTCTTTCATAACAGTTACAGCATTAATTTCTAATCTGCTATCATCGTCAAAGTAATCAACTCAGCATAGATCGAGTATGGGAGGTATATTGAACACGATGTTCGCAACATCGGTGTCATGTAGATGTTATTAATCATATCATATCATAATCATATCACCTATATAGTAATCATCACGTTGTGTATATGAATTGTACTGTTTCATGAAAATCTATCCGTAGTGATTAACAGCTGGTTATTGAGTGCACTCGTATAAATGTATATTTGAGCTTATTGAAACTATCTTATTTTATTAAATAATTAAAAATGCAATTAAGTCTTGAGATGATGGATTAAATTCTTAATTATCTGCTTGTTATAAATAAAGAAATTAAAATATGCTCATTCTTTAATTCATGTTTCTTCATAGAAGACGCATAATTTTATCCGTTAAATACTATATCTTTACTAATGTTATAAATGCAAAAGTGTGTCTGTCTGTTTCCTTTTCACGCTTAAACTACCGAACCCATTTCGATGAAATTTGGTAGATAGTTTGAGTCATCTTTTAAGGGGCTGAAAAGAAAGGTGGAAGCTTGTTTTGGGAAATCAATAACCGCTCAACCGATTTAGTAGAAATTTGGTATTTAGATAGTTTGATTCTTAAGAGAAGGATTCTTCAAAGAATAGGCTACTATTTACTGCGATAACCTACAAGTTTTAGATGCATGTCATGCCATGCCATGATGCCATCATCATGGCATGACAATGGCCTTAATCGCTGAACGATATATGGCATTAACAAGTCTTTTAATACAAATTTTGCAGGTTAGTATGTGGTAAATTCATTTACTCATCACATACTTATTTTGAAATTATATATATATTGAGTAATGATCCATAAATCGCTGTGTTCTTTTTAAAATATTTTCACAGTAATATTAATATTGTCTACCTTATAAACAATGTTTACTGTGCCATTTCAATTACATTTTCAAGTGGATACTATAGCGAGTGTTGAAATATTTTCATAAAACCTTTATGTTCGTTTCAGCAACAGTATAATTAACTCGCTTTATAGTTTCATTAATACAGAGCCCTCTTTCCTGACGAATGAAAACAACGCCAAAATATCAGACGTTTACCTGAAACAAACAAAACAAATTGTTAATATAATAATATAGCAACATTCAATTCCTATGCTACAGATATATATTCGTTACCACGCAGTAAATTATTTCTCATTAATTATTTTGCAATAGCCACTGTTTGACATTCACGATTCTGAGATACAATATGGCGACCGCATGGATCAACTGAAAATTCATGATCCACATCTTCATCATTTCTGACTAGACGTCGAGAAAGACGTCCACTGCTTGACATAGCATTCCCCTAGCGTCTTCAACCGGTCCTGTGCTGCCCACAATTGAAAATGACGACTAAGTAATTAGGCAAAAACTCGGCAAACTTTTAAACTCCTTATCAGTATTGGTATAGATAGTTCAACTCAGTTGTGCGCGCGGCCCTATGTGTGCATGGGCTTGTAAATATACAACTTTCATTCGTGTGGCAGTCGTCGTCCGACTGCCGCGTCACTGCCACACGCACAACTGAGTTGAACTATCTATACCATTATTAGTACATGTATTTTTTTTTATATATTATAATTTAATTTATAAGTACCCTGGGAATATGATATTCTATTAATGCTATATTTTTCATTAAATCCCATTTTTAATTTCTGTGCATCTACCATTTTTTAGCTCTGCATCGCCCTAAGGTCGGCTGGGAGAAAATGCCTATGGCATTAAGTCCGCCTTTGTCACATTTGTGCATAAAGTATAGAAAAAATTCTAACCATCAGCTTGCCAAAATTTGTAGAATAGGGATAAGATATGAGCAGTTCTCAATCTATTATTTTAACGAATAGGCGGTGGTAATCAGATAGCTTAGCTAAATAGACGGCAAACGAATTTATGAACTGCAATAAGTAATCAACTAGAGTACGTGGAAGAGCGTGAAATACGTTGGAGAGCCATGGCCACTTGAGCCAGTCTCTACCGGAGTGATACCAGAGCTTCACAGAAAACCGGTATTAAGCAGTTCTTTGCTGCATTGTTTTTCACTGTTGTGTTGCGCGATCAAGTGCGTTGTCCTACCCCTGATTTTGGGGGGAAGGCAATGCATTTGTGACTCTAGAGTTGCAGGTATCCATGGGCAAGTGTAGTCACCATCAGGTAGTCTGCCTGTTCGTTTGCTCCCGTATACTAAAAAAGTTTCATTTACTCCAAAGGTACAATCGACAAATTACAATCATGACCCATTTTCAGAATAATTCAGCCAAATTATCGATACAAGTAAAAAAAAGTCAACATACATTGATATTTTCCATCATAAATTATAGCAGAAAATGTACCCACATATTCATTAAATTGTTGAAAAATACTATAAGAACTCTGTGTCAATGGAATCGAAACGTATTTCGTATAAAATGATGAAATTTGACGTGAGACCCGTAATGATTCTATTGTGCGAGTAAATAGGTGCCAAGAGGCATTTAGTGAGTGTGAATAGGCAACAAGAGGTATTCCTTCACACGAAACAAGAAATAAATTGGTTTCTTTAACGTTAGGCTGTTCCTTACCGCTAAGGGATGTACCTCAAATTATTTTATTTATTTGAACATTGAGTTCATTCACATAGAGATTATGCATAGAAATAATAAGATTTGCTGTGTATTTGCCATTTTTAAAGAACATTTTGATGAAACCTATTAAATGTATAACGTGTTAAAAAATCCTTTTATCTTTGTAATTTTAATCTACAATGTGTAGTACTCATATTGGTAGTTAGGAATAATATAATTTGGTTTGCTGTTGTTTTAAGGTCCGAAAATTCGTGTGAAAAAAAAAACAATATTTTGGTTGTGTACTAAACGTTCAAAATCTTTTCAGTTAAATAAGGTTAGGATATTTAGTGAAAGCATCTAGTTGTTAGGTGAGATTTACTCACTCACTTACTTAATATTGTATCTTTTCTTTCAGATATACTTTTGGTTTCCGATACGCCTTACGGGTCCCATCTAAACTTATGTAACTTCTATTAAATTCAAGGTCAAGTTGTCTCTTTTTGCAGTGCTGTTGTCCTGCGTAATTTGCTCCCTTAGTCGGCTCTTAAGACACCCACGGGATGAAGAGGGGTGGTGACGCTCCATATTCTTAATCTGTAAATAAATCAAATACTGATAACTAAACAATACGGAAACTTATATACTCGTAAAGACTAATGTTTTATAAACTACTTTGCAAACTGTTCGCGTTTGCTCCTTCTCGATTTTATAATACCTTCAGTAGGTTATGTTTTATAGATCTCAGGTATCAAATAAGTCGCTCATCGCATCGCTGCTGCTTTTTTCCTTAACGTTGTCCTGCACTTTTCTTTGGAGTAAAGTAACTAGTCCAATCAGATGACCAACACAGATTGAAATTTTGCTGGTCTTTACTTCGGACCACGATAACTAATTGGGCACAATAGGTCAAAGGACGAAAGTCCAAAAAATACCGAGAATGTTCCTTAACGTTGCCTCGTGTAATAAATTAGACTTGTCTGCTCTTAATCGCTGAACGATATATTTCCTCCTTCATAGCATCTGGCAACTAGTTCTAACATATTATTTTCATTTACTGAACAAATAAGGTGTGAAAGATATTTGTATTAATAAATGAGGGACTACATGTTACGAGAGGTGAAAGTAGAATATTTCTGAACAAAATTGGGTGCAAAAAAGAAATATACATAAACGTTACTTATAAAAGGTATAAGAAAGGTTTATGTGGAAAAAATTTGCTTGTAAATGGCTGTTCAAAGGTATTACATGTTTTCTGTTGTTATGTTACAAAAGGGAAACCAGCTTTTTTCCAACATTGTCGTAAGAATTAATGATGTGTTTTGAGAAATTGTAGGTAACTTTTTTATGTAAATCACTTATTAATTTCTTTGTTTAATTTGTAGTAAATTGGCATTACGGGTAGAATGCATTGGTTAAAGTCCAGACGAATTCTTCTTTTATAGTGATTAGACAAACGTAGAGTAGAGCGCCCTGCGGAACGATGGACCGACGATTAGGGGAAAGTGGCTGGTAGTCGATGGATGCGGATTGGCCAAGACCAAGAATGTTCGCGCTCCTTGGAAGAGTCCTTCGTTCAGTAGTAGTTGCAGTAGGCTGATCACCTCGTAAAGTTCCGTATAACTGTCCTTAGAGCCCTTAATAAAATAAAATAATGATTATACTACGTTGTTCATGACTATCTGCATGTTATGCTATGCATGTTATGCATATTTGATATAAGGAAATCCTTTGTAGAAAAAACTACAATAATCCTATTAAGAGATGATCAGTTATATACACATAAATGTTTTCTAAACAATTCTCGTTATTTTGTACAATAGACAGAGGACAGTAATTAACTTTTTTAGATCTTTATAAATATTATGAAATAGTCACTATATTTAAACCGCCGTAAGCTTGGCCCTCCTGATGGTTTGGGGGACGCGGGGCGGGGGTGCATTCAACCAATTAGCTCGTGCGTCGCTGTCCGCCAGCAGTGACTGACGTGAAAGCATGCCTGTACATGTTATTTTTCTTAAGACTGCTACACACGGTATTATTTTGCAACAACATGGATAATCTGCCAACTTTGCGTCACAAAAAGATTTAA